GTCAGGAGTTTGAGATCATCCTGGCAACATGGTGAAACCCCATCTCTACTAAAAATACAAAAACTGGCTGGGCATGGTGGCTCATGCCTGTAATCCCAGCACTTTGGGAGGCCGAGGCAGGCAGATCACGAGTTCAAGAGAGACCATCCTGGCCAACATGGTAAAACCCCATCTCTACTAAAAATACAAGAATTAGCTGGGTGGGGTGGTGCGCACCTGTAGTCCCAGCTACTCAGGAGGCTGAGGCAGGAGAATCGCTTGAACCCGGGAGGCGGAGGTTGCAGTGAGCCAAGATTGGGCCACTGCACTCCAGCCTAGGCAACAGAGCGAGACTTGATCTTGGAAAAAAAAAAAGTTAGCTCCATTGTATTGCAGCTGGTCCCTCAATTTGTGTTTGTCTGATGTTTCCTATATCCAATTCAGGTTATGCATTTTTGGCATAGGATGTCAGTTCAAACTGGTTGATGCTGACTTTGTTCACATGGTTAAGGTGGTTTCCAGAAGAACCACTATAAAGGTTCCTTGTATATATTTGTAATTCACATGTAATCTGTGGAGTAAGGCTTTGGCATCTTATTCCCCAATGCTATGGTTTGAATGTATTCCCCAAGTGCATGTGTTGGAAATTTAATCCCCAGTGCAAGTGTTGAGAGCTGGGTGATTAGGTCATAAAGGCTCTGCTGTTATTGCGGGAGTGGGCTCCTGATAAAGGGATAAGTTTGGCCCCCTTCCTTTCTCTTTCCTTTGTCCACCCTCTTGCCCTTCTGCTTTCCACCATGAGATGATGCAGCCAGAAGGCCCTCACCAGATGTGGCTCCTCAATCTTGGACTTCCCAGCCTCCAGAACCATAAGGCAAATCAATTTCTGTTCATTATAAATTACCCAGTCTCAGGTATTCTGTTACGGAAGAATAAAACAGACCAAGACACCCGGTAAGCACCTATCTGAATCAGTCATGACTGTGTTAGTTGCAATGTGGTAACTTTTTGTTTGTTTTTTGTTTTTTGAGATGGAGTTTCACTTGTTGCCCAGGCTGGAGTGCAATGGTATGATCTTGGCTCACCACAACCTCCCCGTCCCAGGTTCAAGCCATTCTCCTGCCTCAGCCTCCTGAGTAGGTGGGATTACAGGCATGTGCCACCACGCCCAGCTAATTTTGTATTTTTAGTAGAGACAGGGTTTCTCCATGTTGGTCAGGCTGGTCTCGAACTCCCAACCTCAGGTGATCCACCTGCCTTGGCCTCCCAAAGTGCTGGGATTACAGACATGAGCCACTGTGCCCGGCCTACAATGTGGCAATGTTTTCTGTATTAGTCAAGTGCAGTAGTGAGAAGGGGGGAAAGAATAGAACAAAGAGTTCAATCTGTAACTGACCATGAACAATCAAGTGAGATAACTCACTACCTTGAGACTAGCCAACTTTGCCAACGCTGTTGTTCCTTCAGCAATCATTAGCTGGTATTCTCTTCTACCTCTGTTTATGTATTTGTTGGTAAGTTTATTTGCTTTTTAGTATCACTCTGGACTCATAGATTCTTTTATTCAATGTGATAATTCATTATTGCCATTATTAATTTTGATATTCAAATTGTTCCAGGTTTGGTCAGTGGGGCCCCATCAAGCTGGCCCCTGTGGCCTTCTGACCTGTCTCTATCATTCTTTGAGCACCTCTTTGTGTTCTGAACAAGCTGCTCCTGACTCATTGTTGACCTTCCCTCCCCTTCCCACAATGAGCCACTTCTCCTAGGAGCCCTGGCTCCTTTTAATAGACAATGGTATTTAGAAACCAAGATATGGGCATGAGGAATGCTCATTGCTACTTGGGTGGCCCTGCTCCCCAGCCCTCTCAGCAGGCAGATCTTGAAAATAAACTCTTAAGTCAAAATGAAAAGTAGGCCAGGCACGGTGGCTCACACCTGTAATCCCAGCACCTTGGGAGGCTGAGGTGGGCGGATCACTTGTTCAAGACCAGCATGGCTAGCATGGTGAAACCTGTCTCTACTAAAAATACAAAAATTAGACAGGTGTGGTGGTGCACGCCTGTAGTCCCAGCTACTTGGGAGGCTGAGGCAGGAGAACTGTCTGAACCTGGGAGGCAGAGGTTGCAGTGAGCCGAGATCACACCACTGCACTCCAGCCTAGACAACACCAAAAAAACAAACAAACAAAAAAAAGTTAAGGGTTATCCACCAAGTTTCCAAGTTTCTCCACTATAAAGGTTCCTTTTTTATCTTTGTAATTAATAAATAATCTGTGGAGTCTCTCATTCCAATTCATGGAGCTCTTCTTTGCCTGCCTTCACTCCATATTTGTGTGTTTCTTCTCTCATAGTGAGTATCCCAGCTCCCAAGAATGTCATTATATTTACTTATTTGCTTAATCCTACAATACACAGAAAATATTTTCAGAATTGCTATACCAGATCACTACCAACTAAGTGAAGTGCACAATTTCTTTGTAGTTTTGTTTGTTTACACACAGGTGTATAGTCAAAGAGCTGTGTTCAAAGTTATTTGAGTTTGACTTTCTGTGGTTAATTTACTATGCCGTTTAGCTCATTTGTTCACTTTTGTTTGTGTTCAATTTTAGGTTTCTTTTCCCCCATCTTATGTTGATTTAGTTTTTCTTTTAAAATACTAAAACATTAACATGTTTTGAAAAGTCAAAACTGCCCCCAAAAAAGGTATGCTTGGAGATGTGTCATTTCCTCTTAGACTTTCACACCATTCCCATCCACCCACTACAAGTAGCCAATTTATTAGTTTCTAGTTTTTTCTTCCTGGGTTTCTTTTTTCCCTTTCTTTTCTCTTTTTCTTTTCTTTTTTTTTTTTTTTCCAAATTAAGGAGCTACTTGAACGTTTCACACGAAAAGTAGCCTAATACAGTACTCTGTGTTTAACTTTTGTTCATTTCCTAATACTGTATACCCTAGAAATCACTCCACATCAGTTCACAGAGATCTTCCTCACTATTTTTTAAATTTTTAATTTAATTTTATTTATTTATTTATTTTTGAGACGGAGTCTCACACTGTCGCCCAGGCTGGAGTACAGTGGTGTGATCTCGGCTCACTGCAAGCTCCACTTCCCGGGTTCACATCATTCTCCTGCCTCAGCCTCCTGAGTAGCTGGGACTATAGGCGCCCGCCACCACGCCCAGTTAATTTTTTGTATTTTTAGTAGAGATGGGGTTTCACCCTGTTAGCCAGGATGGTCTCGATCTCCTGACCTCGTGATCTGCCCGCCTCGCCTCCCAAAGTGCTGTGATTACAGGCATGAGCCACCGCACCGGCCCTCACTCTGTTTCATAAGTGCATCGTGTGGATGGACCAGGGTTTATTCAACCAATTGCCTACGTATTGGCAGTGAAGTTGTTTCCAAAATTTTGCCATTGCAAACAATGTTGCAATGAGTGACCTTGTACATATATACACTTTTATACTGGTGTAGGCGTTTCTCCAGGGTAAATTCCTAGCTGTAGAATTGCTGGGTCAAAGGGTAAATGCGTATGTAGTCTTGTTAAACAATACTAAATGTTCCTCTCTAGGAGTTGGACCATCTTGCATTCCCACCAGCAATGTACCACAGCATCTGTTACCCCACAGCCTGTCCTGTTGCTTTACACTTAGCAACTGGATTAGTTAGAACCCTGATGGTTTCTCAGAGTACCCTGCATTTCTCTTTCTGCGGGAGAAACGGAACATCTTTTCATTGAAGGGCCAGTTTTATGTCATTTTTGTGCAGATTGTCAGTTCATGTCTTTTGCCTATTTGGTCTTTGGCTCCCTCAATGTTTGAGTTATTTACATACTTGGGATCTTAAACCTTTATCTGTGACAGATGTTGCAAATATTTTTCCCAGTTTGCCATCTGTCTTTAATTAATGGTAGGGTTTTTTTTGTTTTTTGTTTTTTGTTTTTTGAGACAGGGTCTCACTCCCTCACCCAGGCTGGAGTGAAGAGCCGTCATCTCTGCTGACAGCAAGCTCCGCCTCCCTGGCTCAAGAGATCCTCCCACCTCAGCCTCCAGAGTAGCCCTAATGAACTTTTCTTATTTTTCGCAGAGAGGGGTTTTCTCTATGTTGGCCAAGCTGGTCTCCAACTTCTGGACTCAAGAGATTCTCCCACCTAAGCTTCCCAACGTGCTGGGATTACAGATGTGAGCCACAGGGTCTGGCCCTTTTTTTTTTTTTCTGAGACAGAGTTTTGCTCTTGTTGTCCAGGCTGGAGTGCAGTGGCGCAATCTCAGTTAACTGCAACCTCCACCTCCTGAGTTCAAGTGATTCTCCTGCCTCAGCCTCCCGAGTAGCTGGGATAACAGGAGCGCCACCACCACGCCCGGCTAATTTTTGTATTTTTAGTAGAGACGAGGGTTCACCATGTTGCCCAGGATGGTCTCGAACTCCTGACCTCAAGTGATCCGCCTGCCTTGGCCTCGCAAAGTGCTGAGATTACAGGCATGAACCACCGCGCACGGCCCTAGCTTCCGTTTTTTAATATTATGTATCTTTATTTTCCTGGCACGTAGGCGGTAGGTCATTAGAAGCCTTTCCCCACACGCAGGTCCTAGTCACCAGTACTTTCTAGCGGCTGGTAGGCCCTGCGGCTCTGCCCCTAACACGGGCGTGGGGCACGCGGCCAGGAGCCCGTGGAAAGGGTACAGGGCGCGCGAACCCAGGCTCTCAGGCCGCGTCGGCCGCGCGTGCGCACTGACAGCCGGGCCGAGCCAGCCCGGGTCCCGCAGGGAAGAACGCGAGCGGCGCGGGGAGGCGGCGCTGCCCTGGGCCGCGAGGTCCCTATGGCTGCCCCACCGGAAGCCCCACCCCCTTCTGGTAGCTGGAAGCGGTTTTCCGGCCGTCCCGGCTGCAGCCCAGCGGCCTGGCCTCTGGAGACGGCTGTTACCCGGCAGTGCCCGGGCGTGGACTGCCAGACCCTCGCCCGACCCCAGCACGCCTCCGGCGAGCGCCCACCCCCTGCCCTAGCCCGCAGCGCCCCGACTTACTTCTGAGGCCGAGATGCGGCCTCTCCTGCGCCGGGTGGTCGCCCGCGAATCCCTGCCGCGCCGCAGTGCGCCCCCTCGTGGCCCGCCTGGTGGTGCAGCCGGGCTTTCAGCGCAGGGCCGCGGAGCCGCCCGGCCTCCTCTTGCCCTGGCCGCTGTGCCGCGCGCTCGGGGATGCGGTCCTTTTCGCCGCTAGCCAGCTTCTGCCTCTCGGCCACCCGTCCTTTCTCGCCCAAGCTGCCTAGGAGGCGCGCCTCTGCCGCCTTCTTGCCGCGCTTGCTGCAGCCTCGCCCAGTCCTGCGGCCTTACAGGGCCGAACCTCACCCTGCTCTGCGGAAGGGAGGCCTCCACCTTCCTCCACGCCTTCCTCCCTGACCGGCACCATGCACCGCGTTGCCCTTTCCAGCATCGACGATCTATTCCCCAGTGCTCTGACACCAGCTGAATTAGTGCGAACCTACTCGTTAAGGGATTAGCCCAGAGAGACTGCCCTCCCTTCACCAGCCACAAGCGGGGTGCCCAGAATGTCCACATTTCTACCCTGCCCACTAGAAACTGAGGGATTGCCACAGCTCCCCTGAGGTTCATCAATTCCCTGGGACGACACAGAACTCAGGGAGACACTTTACTGTTAGAAGATTATTGTAAAGGACACAACTCGGGAACAGCCAGGTGGAAGAGACGCGCGGCACAGGGGTTGAAGGGCGGGAGTGCAGCCCTCACAGCACCTCTGTGTGCCCACCTGCCTGGAAGCTCTCTGCACCCTGTTTAAGGGATTTGTGTCCAGGTTTCATTATGTCATTGGCCATTGGTGATTGAATTCAACCTCCAGCCCCTTTCCCTTCCCGCAAGGGGAGTGGGGATATGTTGGGACTGAAAGCTACAACCCTCTGATCACATGGTGTGTTGCACCAGCCCCACCCTGAATCCATCCTAGAGCCCACAAATAGCCATTCATTAGCATAAACTGTGATTTGATTAAGGAACTCATGAATAACAAAAACACTCCTATCGCCTAGGAAATTCCAAGAGGTTTAGGAGTGCTATGTCAGGAACTGGGGACAAAGACCAAATGGATTTTTTATACCAAACTCCCTAAACCAATAACCCAGTCTAACCGTGAGAAAAACATCAGACAAATCCCAGCAGAGGGGCCATTGTACGAAATAGGGAGCCAACCTAAACTCGGCCAAAGTTGTGAATGTTGTCAGAATCAAAATGGTGGAGTCATTTGTGTTAAAAGAGAGAGAGGGGAAAAAATGACAAACAGAGCTGGGGAAAGCCATGAAGAGGATTCTTCGTAAATGCCTGATGTCACAAATGCTCATGAAAGACCAACACCGTCCACAGAGGCCATGTCAGCCTTCCCAAAAGAAGACTCCTGCCAGGACATCTGCCCAGCAATAGCCTGTCCACCCTCAGACAGGTATCACCCTGGTCGATACTTGTTGCTGAGGCTAATGATCAAAAACAACATGTAGTCCTCCTCATTTTTTCTTTAAAAACCTTTGTCTTCCTTTACCTCCCTGAATACACACATAGCTTAACATGGCCCACATGGTCCCATTGCAACGCCCTGTTCCCAAGTATCATTTTCTTTTAGAGAACCTCTCTGTTTGTTACGGAGGTTGGCAAGGTCACCAAAACCAAAGAGAGTGTGAGGAACTGCCCCAGCCAAGAGTCATCTAAGGAGACATGATGGTTAAATATAAGTGGTGTGCTCAATGGGATCCTGGAACAGAAAAAGGACATTGGGAGAAAATGGAGGAAATTTAAATAATATACCAATAATATCAATAATATAATGTACCAATGTTGGTGTATTAATTGTTAACAAATGTGCCATACTAATGAAAGATACAAATATGAGGAAACTGGTTTACGGGAACTCTGTGCACTATCTTGCAAATTATCTGTAAATCTAAAACTACTCTAAAAATAAAGCTTTGAAAAAAAATTACGGCTCAGTGTCATGGGCACACCTGTAATCCCAGCACTTTGGGAGGCCAAAGTAGGAGGATCACTTGGGCCCAAGAGTTTCAGGACCAGCCTGGGCAACATGACAAAACCCTATCTCTACAAAAAAAATGCAAAAATTAGCCCGGTGTAAAGGTGCGTCCCTGTAGTCCCAGCTACGTGGGAGGCTGAGTGAGGAGGATCTCTCGAGCCTAGGAGGTCAAGGCTGCAGTGAGTCGTGATGACGCCACTGCACTCCTGCCTGGGCAACAAAGGAAGACCCTGTCTCAGAAAAGATAAGAATCATAAATAAATAAACAAGTAAACTAGAAATAAGCCAGATGTGGTGATGCATGCCTATAATCAGTTATTCGGGAGGCTGTGGTGGGAGGATAGCTTGAGCCCAGGAGTTCAAGACCAGCCTAAGCAGCATGGCAAGACTCCCTCTGAAAATAAAAGGAAAAACAATTACAAAGATTTAAAAGCCCTTCAATTTTGAGGATCCACCTTCTTTAAACGGCAGAGGGAGAAAGGGCGTAAATTGAGTGACATTCACTGGAATTAGGAGATCCAGAGTGGAAATTTCCAGAAATCCTGGTGGAAAGAAAGGAATAGCCATAGCAGGCCCTGAGTATAGAGAGCTTCCCAGCCAGATCAGATCCATCCCATCCTTCTCCCACCTCCACTCCCCCTCCCCTGGCACCAAGGGGGTCCGCAGAGGGAGCAGAAACCTTCAAACACTCCCCTTCCTGCAGACAGGCAGCCCCAGCCCTGACCACAGCTGGCTGGACTTGGAATGAAGCTTGAAGGACTGATAAATATCTAGGACTGGACACACTAGTTTCTGAATTGAGAAGAAGTTTATGATTTAAAGTGATCTTGGCCGGGCGCAAATGGCTCACACCTGTAATCCCTGCCCTTTGAGAGGCTCAGGCGGGCAGATCACCTAAGATCGGGAGATTGAGACCAACCTGGCCAACACAGCGAACCCCCATCTCTACTAAAAATACAAAAATTAGCCGGGCATGGTGGCGTGCGCCTGTAATCCCAACTACTCAGGAGGCTGAGACAGGAGAATCACTTGAGCCCAGGAGGTGGAGGTTGCAGTGAGCTAAGATTTCACCAATGCACTCCAGCCTGGGCAATGGAGCAAGACTCATCTCAAAACAAGCAAACAAATAAAGTGACTTTAAGATTGTCCCCAACCTAACATGAGCAGAAAAGTTTTGGGTCTGTGTTATGAGTTCAATTGTACCCTCCTGAAAAAGCTATGTTAAAGTCCTAAAGGCTCACATACTTGAGAATATGACCTCCTTTGGAAACAAGATCATTGCACATATAATTAGTTAAGATGAGGTCACACTCACCTAATATGCCTGGCGCCTTTATAATCAAATGGATATATGGCGACAGAGACACTGGGAGAATGCCACGTGATGACAAAGGCAGAGGATGGCCTGATGCTGCAAACCACCGAAGCGAGGAAGAAGTGAGGAAGACCTGAGGAAGGATCCCCTACAGGTTTCAGAGGGAGCACGCCCTGCTGCCACCTTGATTTTGAACTTCTAGGCTGGAGAATTGTGAGACACAATTCTGTTATTTTAAGCCACCCTATTTGTAGTACTTTGTTGCAGAGGCCCTGGGAGTCTAATTCAGCCCTATTAGCGTTTTCATGGGGGCAAGTGAAGATACTCTCTACTGGATACATTTTAGAGATAGAAGATAAAGCTGTGTTTGTCACACCCTGTGAGTTATGGGTACAATGTACCAGTTACTCAACTGTCCTGTGGTCTAAATCTCTTTAAGGGACCAAGGAAGCTTACCAGGCCCCTGGTAAGGAAACCTAGGCCATAGGTGGTACCAAAACAAAAGGGACCCCGCACAGTGGTGAAAACCTCCAGCACACCTTCTGGGAACTTGCCCTGCAGATACGGTCATCTGTGTGCAAAATGGTGTGTGTGTACAAGGTTATTCACTGAGGCGTTGTTTGCAATAACAGAAGGTTGGAAACCACTACACATCCAATAGGTATGGAAGGCAAATAAGTACTTGTACTCCATGCACTGGAAGACTGTGCAGCTTGGCCGGCCATGATGGCTCACGCCTGTAATCCAAGCACTTTGGGAGGCCAAGGCGGGTGAATCACAAGGTCAGGAGTTCGAGACCAGCCTGACCAACATGGTGAAACCCCCATCTCTACTAAAAACACAAAAAATTAGGCAGGCTGGTGGTGCGCGCCTGCAATCCCAGCTACGCGGGAGACTGAGGCAGGAGAATCGCTTGAACCCGGGGAGGCAGAGGTTGCGGTGAGCCGAGATCGCGCCACTGCACTTCAGCCTGGGCGACAGAGCGAGACTGCGTCAAAAAAAAAAAAAAAAAAAGACCGTGCAGCTCCTAAAAACTGAGAGGAAGCGACGCCCGGTAAGACTGCGGCGGCGCAGCGCGTGCATTGTTGCGGATCCGGGACGGTGGCCCGGGGGCGTCTTGGTCTTCCTCACCGCTGCGAAATCGCGTCACCTACAGCTACTGGCGGGTTCAGGAGGTGCTGAAGCACGCCAAGCACTTCCGGCGGAGGAGTGGGTGAGGGGGAAATTGCTGCTACAGGTTGGCGGTCAGAGCCGGGACTCGAGCCTTTGTGAAATGCACCAAAGCCCGAAACCTGAAGAAGAGGATCACGAGGACCCTCTGGATTAATCGAATTACAGCTGCTACCCAGTCACACGGCCCGACGTATCCAGCGTTCACTGGCAATTTAATTAAGTGCCAGGTGGAGCGGAAAGTCCTAGCGGATCTGGCCATCTACGAACCAAAGACTTGTAAATCTTTGGCTGCCTTGGCCAATAGGAGGCGACAGGAAGAATTTGCTGCTGCCTTAGGGAATGGGAAGGAGCCCGAAGGCATTTTTTTCCAGAATGGTGCAGTACCACTGAGGACCGTTGCTGTATTGATTACGAAAAGACACAGAGTAATTTGCAATTTATTTGATTTGTACTTGTGTTTATCCACAATTCCAGTAACAGGCATGAGGGAAGGCCCCTTCTCTCTGGGACAGAGCCTCACAGATGACTTCCGTGTTTCGTGTGAATGAAACTCAAACATTGTTCAAAAAAAAAAAAAAAAAAAAAAAAAATTGGGAGGAAGCAAGAAAGAAAAAGAGTAAGGGAGCTCTTTGTATACTAATAGAGAAATAGAAATATCTGGAATACAGTAACCTGCCTTTTGTGTAAAAGGCAGGGAAGCTGATAAGAAAATAATATAACTGTATTTCGGCCAGGTGGGGTGGCTCACACCTGTAATCCCAGCACTTTGGGAAGCCAAGGCAGGCAGATCATCTGAGGTCAGAAGTTCGAGACCAGATTGGCCAACGTGGTGAAACCCGTCTCTACTAAAACTACAAAAATTAGACAAGTGTGGTGGTGCACGCTTGTAATCCCAGCTACTCAGGAGGCTGAGACAGGAGGATCGCTTGAACCTGGGAGGCGGAGGTTGCAGTGAGCTGAAGTCGTGCCACTACATTCCAGCCTGGGCAACAAGAATGAAACTTTGTCTCCAGGAAAAAAAAAAAAAAGGAAGTAATTCTATTTAGCCAGGTGTGGTAGCATCTTCCCATGTAGTCTCAGCTGCTTGGGAGGCCAAGGCAGGAGGATCACCTGAGCCCAAGAGTTCTAGTCCAGCCTGGGCAACATAGTAAGACCCCCATCACTACAACAAGAAAAAGAAAATCTAACTGTATTTACGTATATTTGCATAAAGGACCCTACAGCATGCACTAGAAGCTTTTAAGAGTGAGGGGACATGGGGGAATGGAATGGTGGCAGCAGGGAAGGGGACTTTTCACATATCACTTTTTATGCTGTTCTATTTTTGAACCATGTTAACACATGATCTACTAATAAAATGAAATTAAAAGTAAGGAGAATGTCCAGAGAGCAGATTTCCTATAATGAGGGGCACTTTGGATTTACTGATTAACAAGCGACTATGGAAATCCTAGAATGCTAAACTAAGAGGTTAAGAGTTGATTTGGGAATCACTGGATGTTTTGAGCCAGGAAGTAGCGTCAGGAAGAATCATCTGAAGGGAGTGTATAGTCTAGATCAGAAGGAGGAGAGACCCAAATGGTAAGCCTGTGGCCCTAGTCAGGTGTGAAATGATGAGGCAAGGAACAATGATGGCAGTTAGCTGGAAATAGAGGTTTTCAAGAAAAATCTACACACCAAAAAAGACCAGCTGGCCAGGCGCGGTGGCTCACACCTGTAATCCCAGCACTTTGGGGGGGTCAAGGTGAGTGGATTACTTGAGGTCAAGGATTCAAGCCAGCCTGGCCAACATAGTGAAACCCGGTCTCTACTAAAAATACAAAAATTAGCCAAGTATGGTGGCGCACGCCTGTAATCCCAGCTACTCAGGAAGCAGAGGCAGGAGAATCACTTGAACCAGGAAGGTGGAGGTTGCAGTGAGCGGAGATCGCACCACTGCACTCCAGTCTGGGCAACAGAGCAAGACTCCATCTCAAAACAAAAACAAAAACAAACAGCTGAACTTCTTACATATCAAGTGCATGCTGCTTGAAATAAATGGGTCACAGAAGAAATTTTTGTCACATAGGTGTGTCTACTTGCTTTTGGCATATAAAATATTGTGAAGGCTGCTTACATTTTAGACCTTTATATTGACCTGGATTTGGAATTTACAAAGACATCATAATGTATATTTCAGCTTCCCAGACAATAGACTGGCTAGTTTGATTTTCTCTTCTATGTCCTTATGCTTAGGCACACCATTTTAGAGTTGTTTGCTAAACTTACCAATGTCTTTTTTTTTTTTTTTTTTTTTTGGAGATGGAGTTTCACTCTTGTTGCCCAGGTTGGAGTGCAGTGGCGCGATCTCCGCTCACTGCAAGCTCCGCCTCCCGGGTTCACGCCGAGCCTCCCGAGTAGCTGGGACTA